GCCCTCTACGATGACATCAACCGCAACCTGGCACTCCTGGCAAACGCAGGCAACATCCCGGCCCCCCTCAAGGACCACATCCTTGAGCATGTCCGTGACATCTGCGCCCGCGACACCCTCCAGGCCGCCACCCCGCCAGCCCGCCCCCGACCGGACAACGCCCCTCCGGCGGACCCCAACGCCCAGGACCCTCCGCCGCAAAACCTCCAAGAAGTCCTCAACCTCGCCAGCGACGGAGATGAAAGCGAAGACGACGACATTGACGTCCACCCACCACCACCAAACCCCAACCCCCCCTCTGACAACGAGGACTCCCCTCAGGGCTCTGACCCAGACTTCTCTGACGGCGAAGACATCGACGACCCAGAAGACTCCGACCCCGAGACCCCACCACGCGACCGCAACCCACCCGACGCCCCCCCCGCTGCCCAGGCAAACCCTGAGAATGTCGCCGGCAACGCACCCCGCCCCAACAACGACTCGCCAGCCAGCAGCACCCAAAGCCCCGACCACCAACGCCGTCGCACAGGCCTCTATCAAACCCTACCCACCAGGTTGAAAAAGATCGCCTTGGAACCTGACGGATCCACCCTCCCAATCTACGAAGCTGAGACATTTGCAGAGACACTCAGAGCGTACTTCCACGCGCCACCACACCACCCTCTCACAGTATTCGAACAGTGGACGAACCCGTGGAACAAATGCATGGCCATCGGTGCCTGRTKSYTCGGCAACAACGCTGCCCGCACGACAGCATTCTTCAATGCAGGGCGACACTGCGTCTACAACTTTGACCACCGCGCAGCACCAAGCCCCACCCAACCACCACCCTTCCCGGACACCTGGCAAGACGACTTCGAACTCAACGCCCTCYGCACCCATCCCTTCAARCATTTCCTGGCCCCAAAGTACTACGCCTGGCGGGGAGAGCTCACGGCAGATGTCGCGGACCGCCTGGTCAACCCAGTACTCTTGGAAATAGCATGCACGGCCATGAACAAAGACAAATGCCCAGAATCCACGGTRCCACGGGACATCCGCCACCACTCTACTGTGGCATTATACTACGCACCCTGCCACCTCCTTGTAGTCGCACGGCGCGAAAAAGTTGACACCGAGACCCGAGTCCAACACGTATACCACATCGGTCACATGATCAAGTACTACCTCATGCACCCCAGCGACAACAACGTCCAGAAAAAACTAGGCAGCAAACTCTTCCCAGTCTGGCACCGCACCCAGCCCTGCCAATCTGAGAACCGCAAAGGACTTCGCATCCTCGCGGCATACGAACTCCGCCGCCGCCCCAATCAGAAACCCCGCTCGGGCAGCGACACCTCCAACGACTCTGCACCCCGGAACTAGGGCTGACACCCCACATTCCCACAGAGACGCTGAACACAATAGGCCTACCACCAAACAAGTAGGTGTTCCAATGGAGGAAAACCAGTCGCAAAACAGTAATAGGTCAACAGCGTCATAACGCCGCCTCGATACCTCAAGACCATTACACATTTCACTACACGTAGATCTAATCACATTAGTCAAATCCTAATTTCGGCAAACACTACGAAAGGTGGAATACCTGACCATTTAGATCTATAGAATACCGGACCCCAGACATATAATCATACGGTACCACAGTACCAAGAGGCCCAGAATGTCCCGTGGCAAGCATTTAGAAAAAGCAATACGGACGAAGGAGAGACAAGGCTACAATAACTCAGGCTAAGAGCAGGGAGGAACGACTGCACTTAGCTTTAGGTATCGTGTTTTAAGCTGCTTCAAATAAACGCATTGAAGCGTATTTTGAATGAAGTTCATTCTGTAGATATTTTTTGTTTTCTATCGGCCATAATGGGATCGATTTTGATGTTGACCACCAACTCCTCCGTACGTAAGATCGAAGCTTGTACCAAGCCGTCCTGTTTCTTTGGCAAAATTTATTCTCAAAACTCCTCCATTCACCATAGTTCCCGAGAGCACCTCACGCGCATGGATGGCAGCATTCTTATCGGTTGTGTTTACGAAACTAAAGGTCCCTTTCGAAATAATACCAGAAATTTGTGCATAAGCAGAGAATATCTCTCGCAGCTGGTTTTCTGATGTTCCTTGGCCGTAACCTGCAACAAATAGATTTTTGGTTGCCGGGTTGCCGCGATCGTCTCTAACGTCACTACCGGTTTGACTAGGAGAAATACCCATTGGAGGGGGTGGAGGTTGTACAAATCCGGAATTGGTCATCCCCGAATATCCGGTATTCGAAGCCTGCATGCCCGTATTGCGTCCATAATAGGAACCTGTATTTGAAACTCCGTTTTGCTGCATATTATTGTCACGATTCTTTCTTTGTGCCATATTGATACGAACTGGTTGCCCGCCCAAAAGCGCTCCATTGAGTGCTTCGCGAGCTTGCTTTGCACCAGCTGGGTCGTTCGTGTTCACAAAGCAAAATGTAGCCTTCATAACGACTTCACTAACCTGTACGTATGGTGAAAATAAAGCAATAATCTCCGACTGCGTTGTACCTGGACCGTACCCACTTAAATGTAAATTCCCTTCAGAGCTGTTCTGGGCCCCTCTGTATCCACCGGTTTTCATGCCGTTTCCTTGCCAATTGTTATTACTACCATACGCGGATTGACCTCCATACTTATTCTCGTTCGAAGGCATTCCGTACATACCTCCGTGTCCTGAAGCTTGACCATACAAACCAGATGCTGAAGTATTTTGACCGATGGCTTTTTGTTGTTGAAACCCTGTCTTCTCTCCCTGATGCTGCTGGCTACTGCTCGGAGAGTTCTGACTCAATGTTTCCACAAGGTTCATCAACCTGATTTGATCATACATGCCGTTACTATCAACAAAGGATCTTAGGAGCTCTGGTGTATTTGCAAGGGTTCGTAAAGATTGCAAGTTCTGGCCTGCAAGGAAGGGAGGTAAACCAAGAGACTGCACGGTCTCGACATTTGCAATTCCAGAGGGAGGCTGGGCCAGGAGAGGTGAATACGCAGGAGTGGAAGTTGGAATGACTTTTGGAGCAAGATCTGGCGCTATTGGTTGTTGCAGCACAAAAAAAGGAATAATCTGTGTCACTGTAGATGATTGAGATGTCATGTCGAGTGCTTGCTCGACGTCACTTAGAGGAGCTGGGTTCATCGGTACATTGTATTCAGATGAGTACTCTACTGGAGTTACTGTTGCCATTCGAGTTGTTTGTGCCAATTTCTCTTTTGAATTGTTGCAGGTTGCATCTGAACGTTCTGGTAATGACGGAGGAATATTCCATGCAATCGTAGGTTGCACTTGAATTGATAAATTTACATCTGTTAACACCAAGCCCTCATCGTCGTCGTCAGACAGTTTTGCTTTCCTGCTCGTGAAAAAATACAGGAATGAGTATCTGGTCTAACCTATTTCGGAATAAAAGACGTGCACATGTACTTACTTTGCTTTAGCTAGAAGCTCTCTTTCGCGATTTCGATCACGACTCTTTCGATCTCCAAATCCTGATATATCCTCATCGGGATTCTCGTCTCTTAGCGTATGGTCATCTTCTAAAATTTTGGAAGCTTCTAACGTTCCACCGAAATGGTCTTTCCACTTCAGACGCTTTCCTGTCTTCTTTGCTAATATCGATCCTACTTTCTTTGATGAATCGACATTTGCTACACCATGCTTGTCATCAGTGCTTAGAATAGAAGAGGGCGCTACTTTTGTCAACAAGCTAGAAAGCGACGACTTTTTCGTATCATCCAACTTAGGTTTTTTCGCTCTTAACAAGGACGATTCGGAAGAAGCCTCGAGATCGCGTTTTAATGCCAAAGGTGTCGATGAACTACTTAGTGTCTTATCTTTTCGCACTTTCACAGAAACTTTCCAGGCTTCCTTTATCGCATTAACTCGCTCAACAATGGCTACTTTATTGGGAGAGTCTACGCAAATTCGGTGCTTCTCTATAGAACCTATTGCTTTTCCCATGCCACTTTCTTTTACTATTCCTTTGGTTACCGGTAATTGTGCAATATTGGTTAGTAAATGAAGTAAAAGATCTATTCCACCTACAGAGAGGAATAAAGGAAAAGAGTCGAAAAAGTGAGGTACCATCACAACTTTGGATATGAAGGTGGAAAATATGTTCAAAATATTGATGCCTTGGAGTAAAAGAGACATACCAACTGTCCCCCTTAGAATATCGTCCATCCATTGTTTGACTACTCCGAGGTAATCATTTTGGAGAACGGCAGCTAAAGTGCTGTTTTCGGTTGGTGTAGCTCCTACAACCGTTAAAATCACAGATCTTCTAGATATGAAAACCGCGTTCTGGTTGCTGATTTCTTTAGAACCACTCACTGTGCTTGATGACATCTGTTCCGAGTTTGGCGAAAGGTTGAGAAAGAGGTCAAGGGTGAGGAATTAAGTGTGGGGAATATTGACGAGTTCCTGAATGATTGCTGTCGCTGTCACTACGTTGCTTTTCCATACAAATAACGTCAAGTATTGCGAAAGCGTTTGATGTAATCTAATGGGCTGTTGACAGTGAAAGGGGACCCTCTAGGTTCGTGTCTGGTACGCTCTTCCGAGAAATTATCTGCGCATGTTTTCGTCACTATCCGTTGGTTTATTTAACCATCTATGTTCCATTAGTTGAGTTCGGCATTAAACATCTCCATGAGAGCACCTAATGCTATTCGACTAAGGCTAACAGACGGCCAGGGTTGATAGATTGGTGTACCAAAAATATGAAAAGAGTCTTTGATGTATGAATTCGAGCCGTTATTGAGCCAATCACGTTGCAAATGTCTTGTTTCATTTTCAACCGGTCATCACGTAGGAGTTTCTCGTCTCTCGATTTTCCAAGAATTCATTCCAAAAAAAGTTGAAAATGGAATTCCAAAGGAATATACCAATTCAGCTCTTCATTCTAGAAAAGTCATATATTGAACTAGAAGATAGGTCGCACGACCACTAGTGTCGATAGATACATCTACAAACATTCCAAATTTTCCTAGTCGAAGAGGATTATCCGAATGCAGAAGTCGTTGCGGAGATTGAATGATTTCGAGATACGCAATATTCGTCGTGACTGATAACACGACCGTCATATCCTATCAAAGGCTCATAGATCGGTATTTTCAATCAATCCACCACTGAATTAATCAAAACAACATCATTTCATAGAACAATGGCCTAAAATGTCTTCGATCTATCCATCTACAGTGAAAACGTTCCTGATTTCGTGCTGGCTCGTCATAACGACTGAGTGCTAGATGATTCGTTCACCATTTCCATCGCGATGGGCTCGTGTTTCGGACTCAATTCCAGGTCGAAAAGGTGATTTTCCCCTCACCTAGATGATAATCTCATATCACGTTCTTGTCGCTTGTTGATTCGCTTTCCCCAAAAAACAAGACTTCATTTGCTCCCCTTCCATCCACCGTTCAACGTCAATACTCGTCGTAAACGTACCTCCAAAAGCTTTGCAAAATCGTCAGAAACCGTTTGGCTCGACGATAAGCATAATTCTGTTGAAGTAGATAAGAAACAAAGCACGAATGTCAGACTCAAACGAGAACCAAATTCATAATGAAAGCCAGTTTATACCATTTGATTATCAGGCTTCTACTTTTTTTAGCTTAAAGTTATAACGGACGACAGCCGTACCATTCGCATCGACTACTTCAACGGCGATCGCATCGAAGTCTTCATTCGTATCTTCGCAAGTCAAGGAAGGCGGGCACTTGCCACTCGCCCTTACTCTATCGAGAATGCGCATCACGTTTTTAGTAGTAACTCTACCGGTAATTGTTTGTCCAGAGATGGCTGTTGATGCCTCTTTGGTTGTTATTCGATCAACTGAAAAGTTTTGGATGAAATTCATATTGCTGGTTGGAGGATCACTCAACGGTATTTTCAATGATTTTCCCTCGTAGGCGACTTGGTAGAATTACTATTAAGAGAGGCTACGAGCAGCCCACTCAACAGAGTACGTACTCGTACGTAGAGGCAGGACACGGCGGGATGGATGATCCTACTCTATTCTACCGTACGTACCGTACGGCAGAGCATTTCATGGTAGTAAAGAATCGAGAGGTCGCAAATTATTTCCTTCTGGCAACTTCCATTACGGTACTCGTAAGGGTACTACCCGTACTCGTACCTATGTGTTCATTTCCTTTCGATTTCTTTCAATTCAAGTACGAAAAGTCTGTCCATCAACCGATTGATCAGCTTTTCTTCGTTTGGGGGCTTTGTCGACCCTTCCTTCTACGAAGTCAACGGTCAGATCCTCTGTTTTGGGAGTTTTGAAAAGTACTCTTTGTGGTAGGTCAATAGTGGCAGCCGAAGGCTTTCCTTGAGATGCTGCTGCATCTTCATCTTCATCTTCAGCTGATGGAGCGGGACTCTTTTTCTTCTTATTATTTTGGGTCCTCTTCTTCTTTGGTGGTTTATAGATTGCCCACGGGAGTGCAAGATTGCAAGATTAGGATCTTTATCGCCATCTTCTAACTTTTGAAACCTAAGCCAACCATAAAATGCTTTCAGAGCCTTCTTATCACCAAAAAATCAGCATAACTGGTCATCACAGTGTTGCTGATACACTTCCACTTGATGATGTCTTCTGCACTGAACTTCTTGAAATTCCTACCGGAAATTTTTTAACAAAAATTCAGCTAGCCCAATGTCGTCAATATCATACTTATGGCCTTTGCTGGCACTGATCTTCTGCAGGTTGTCATCCGATAAGAATTCAACTTTTATCTGGAAATTTTTTAGAATATTCTCTGACTCCATGAGCATCGTTAGCAACGATTCAGACAGTGGTACATGAAGCACGGATTCCTCCATGCAGGTTGTAGACAAAAGGCCATTGAGCGTTTCATAGAACCCAACAGAGAATATGTTCCCCAGGCGTATAATTGATGGAAATGATACAGACAGATGTTTTTGCAAGAGAAGAGATGGCAGAGTGATGTTATATGCTGAACCCCAAGTTACCGTGTGGGTGTCTCGCTTGATGGCGATGGTTGGGTCAGCATTGTACGCTGCGTAATCAAACTGGTTACCGCTATGACCAAATGACACAAGCAAACAGTGGGGAGTACTGAACTTGTCTTGGTCGTTCTTGGTTTCACAGACAAATTTTGCGATTTTGCGCATAACCACTTCATAATCCTCCTGTTGAACACCACCGAACACATCACTGACAAAACATTTCCAGCTTTTCCTTCTCCGTCTTGCAATCCTTGAAGATAAAATCCCAATCCAACCCCGATGCGATCAAGCCAATATTTCCTACATCGAGTGGGTTGATGCTACCTAGATGCATTTTGAAAACCCATTGGTTAAGCAGCATTGTAACATTGGCAAACAAAGCGGGTGGAGAAATGGTGAAAGTGCCTGTGCTTTCCAAGGTGGTAAGAATAACCTTACTGATAGAATTGGGACCGTTACCATCATTGAGTTCCACGTGAATTACATAATTCTGCTTGATTTTTTTGCTGTGCTGGGATGTTATGAAGAAGACGTCAGAGTTGAATGGTAGATGAATCCTACCCTCATCTACGCCTGTTGTCCCGATGGTACAAATGACTCTATTCCCTGTAATAGCATGAACCTTTGACGCTACGACAAAGCAGTTTTCGTGAAGACTGGAGAGGAATTTGTTGTAGAAAAAATTGTGCTGGAAGACAGTAGGATGGCAATGCAAACAAGAAAGTGTAGAAAACGCCATACTGGCCTGAGACAAAAGGAAGTCTTGCCACATCTTGGGCAACCATCCAGCAACGGGGTTATTGGTCTCGGATTTGTTGTTAGGAGGAAACTGCTCAGAGGAAATGTGCTTCTTGCTGTCTGCAACCACGGACAGCAGCATTAATTGTGGAGCATAACCACCGCTTACCTTCGTCATGGTGCTCCAACGATTCCTGTTCATGAGCTCGCATACTTTATCGAGAGTAGATGCAGAGGAAACACCATCTCTAAGGGCCATGTCCCTCAAAATGAAGGACAACTTTTGCTCCATTTTCTTTATGTAATCGTTCACTCTTGCTTCAAAGATGACACAATCAACGGTGTTGCAGTTGAACCTGCCATCGGGGTTGGACAAAGGGGGGAACTCTACAAAGCAGAAGTACCATTCCATAACGTCCCTAACAAACAACAAATACTTCAACATGGTCTCAGGTGTTACAAACGCCAGTTTAGAAGCAGAGTCACCAGCCTTGGCTCCGTCAGATGGTGATGGCTGAAGGTAGAGATTCTTATTTACCAATAAATTGTTCAAATTAATCCATCTTGATGCAAAGTCGTAACGACCCATACGCTTCTTGAAGTGGACCCAGGGAATGATGCAAAATTCAGTCCTGTTGCCTGTCTTATTGTTGCAAAGAAACATATTCACAGATGGATGAATGGTCTTGGGAATATCACCGGGCTGTTTGGCGGAAGGCCATTTGATATTAGTACTAGTCATGACTGCGTTACTGGCGATGTAAACACGACTTGTGAGTTCAGTGAACGGTGTTATGACTTGTTGGCTTACCGCTTTGCCAAAATGCTTGTCCTAGTAGTCTTCATTTGACAAAGCTTCTTCAACAGCTTTCTGAAGAGCCTTCTGCTTCTCTTTCCATAGAATGCCAGATTTGTCAAGCAATTCATGAAGCTTGGGGTTGGTTGTGTGTATGGACGGTTGAGCTTGAGGAGGATTTGGATTGTTACTCATGGTGAGACGGGACTTTTAATTGAATCAGGTAGAGACTGAAGCAAGAAGATTTGTAATCCAAAAACATAAAAAAGCGATTGAGCCTTTTTATTGAGTGTACATTTGGAGAAGAAATCAGTGTCTGTAATCATCAAACAACACCATTGGTAACAATAACATTGTATTGAGATTTTTCCGTCCGTTGCGATTTGCAAGTAAACTGTCAAAACCGGGAACGCCATTCCCGGTTTAGGTAGCCCATGATTTGGAGAAGGTGCACGGTGTCACGCGGTGACACAATAACGAAGTGTGACCATGGTTTTCTGTTACACCAATGACATAATATGAAAGAAACGGAAAAGAACCGAAACAAGGATCTTCCTTGTGCTAGCGTGGGTTTTTGAGTTGGTGTTCAAACCAGAAATTCAAATAAGTAAATAATTCAAATTTAAATTTTCCAAAAGGAATAAGAAAAAAAGTGTCAGGAGAAACGGTTTAAACTATTACGGTGTACTTACAATTCATTGATATCAATAGTAGATATATGTCTTGGATAAACCTGGGAACTGGTATTAGAGAAAAAAAATTGTGGACAGGGATCGTCCACCTGACCACCTGACCACAAGATTACGTGCATACTAAATTAAATCAGTAAGGACGTACGGGGTGTACCAAACAGTGAGAAATCTTACAGTAGCCACGCCAGAATATTTCCAACCCAAACCTGATATTCCAGTAACGACGTACGGGGTGTACCAAGCAGTGAGAAATCTTACAGTAGCCGCGCCAGAAAATTTCTCACCAAGGGAATATATGTGGCGGGTAACAACCTAGCGCCAAGGTTTTACAGAGTGCAAAATCAGAAAACAAAATCAACTTCACAGTAAAAAAAATTGGCATAAACTTGAGAAAGAAACAAACAAAATACTACATAAATCACATTATCACACATAATATGTAGATATTGCTAAAGCGGTAAGTTGTTGAATCACAGGAGATAAACATCTTGTTCCATTGGCAACATTCAGTACAATAGAGAAATGCTAATCAAAATGCAATCTTTGCTGCCATTTGAGCTTTAGGAGCTAATATATCTATCAGATCAAGTAAAACACAGCACAACATGATTGAGGAGACAAACAACAAAGATGGACGTCAAGAAGACGCAGTGATTGGACAAATTCAAAAACATAAAAACCAGCATGAGACAGTCATGAAGAATAATCTGGTTACGTACGTTAAGGAAAGATTTTTCAAGTACACAAAGTTTCCCGTTGAAAATGAAGTTCTAGAGGCCATCATAGAGGTGAACCTTGAAACAACGTTTGGTACGGACCCAGTTCCAAATAAAAAAAATCTTGATATTATATTTAACCTCATGAACTAGAAGAGGCACTAGGAAGGCCAGAACCATTGCATTAGCTGCTCTGAGGGGCAGCGCATCTCTCTGAGGAGGTGTGATGGAGGCGCAACCAGGTTGTATGTACACTGATAGGCCATTGAAGGCCCAAGGCTAGACTCAGAGGACATGTTTAAGTGAAGTATTGGTTCATAGTAGTTTGGATGGTACAGTTGGGTGTGGTGGAGACCAAAGAATTCTTGCTGACACAGGGGATTTGTGTCTTCTCTTCTTGGAGTATGCATCAAAGACCAGCTTGTCTTGTGTGACACTCTCCGGTGGTTGTTTACTTTGAAGCAATGGTTGAAAATACTGTGTAATGGGGCGGGTGTTTGTGACCAAAGCATTGATAGCTTGGGTGACACTCGCCAGAATCKGTTTCTCGTAGGCTTGGTGATAATAAGATAGCATAGAGGTAGGTGTCTTTGATAAGAATGCTTCCATGTCGACAGGGAAAAGATGTGCATGTGATGGACAGGTTTGAGACTTCAACTCAAATAA